AACCCAAACCCCTTTGGCTCTGCCTTTCTCTGTCATGGTCTCCAAACCATACATTATAGTTCAAAGTAGTTTTCACTACAACTTGTAAACCTTGCCTTTCACTCTTGCTGCTGTCCTTCTGTCACAAATCAGCCCTGACTCCATCCACTCTACCCTGCCTGCACTCTCTTCTTCACCTCTCTTGTACTCTGTCCATTGCTTCGGATAGTTGACCCGAGGTATTTAAACTCATCTGCTTTAACTACCTCTACTTTTATCAGTTTCACTGCTGCTAATGAGGTCTTACTTGCAATGCTAAAGTTTAGTCTAACATCTTATGTCTCGTGTAATTCTTGTGTCTTTGTGTATCTGCAGCTGGTGAAAGCTGCCCTTGCTTTGGTTTTGTTTGGAGGCAGACAGAAACAAACAGGCAAGAATAGCATTCCAGTGAGAGCAGACCCCCACATCCTAATAGTGGGAGACCCCGGACTGGGAAAGAGTCAGATGTTACAGGTAACTTAGAGGACTTTGCATAGAGAAATGAATACTAATGTCATGTCAACAGCGCTATGTTGATGACTCATAAGCTGAGACTGTGTATTGTGCTGTGTATTTCCTTTTTGAAACTTTGATATGTTCTTCTTCGACCTAGTACTATGCTCTACGTTTGTCTTTTACTCTGCATAGGCAGTGTGTAACGTGGCTCCCAGGGGTATCTATGTTTGTGGCAACAGTACCAGCACCACAGGTACAATGTGTTAAAGTAGAAAACTTCTTAACTAATTTGTTATACAGTAGTCATTAAGTATTTGGTTAAATATAGTCAAATTAGCAATGTGATCTTTACAGTTTTTCTGTTTTTCTTTAGGACTCACAGTAAGTTTATCTCGAGATGCAGGAACAGGGGATTATGCTCTGGAGGCCGGTGCTTTGGTTTTGGCAGACCAAGGTGGGAAATTTGTTTTTAAGCATATTTTAATGTGCTGTGAACATAAAACATTGCAACCTGTTCTAGTGGCTTTGAGGTAATTGCACTTTGGTATCTAGCCATATTTCTTAAAAAAAACATGTATAAAGTATTATTTATATTTCTTTTAACTTCACAGCATCTTCCACAAAGTATTCCTCCACTGCTTTGACCACTTTCACTTAGTTTGCCAGGCTCAAATTATCAGACAAGCCTTTCAGCCTGCAGGGGAATCTTTTTGCTTCACATGTGTCACAGTTAGTTGCTTGCGTTTCTTTTTTACTTGTTTATTTAGGTCTTTGCTGCATTGATGAGTTTGACAAGATGGGCAACCAGCAGCAGGCTCTGCTAGAAGCAATGGAGCAACAATCTGTGAGTCTGGCGAAGGCTGGTATAGTTTCCTCTCTGCCTGCTAGAACCTCAGTTGTGGCTGCTGCAAACCCAGTTGGAGGACATTACAACAGAGGCAAAACAGTCTCTGAAAATCTGAAGTAAGTTAAAGATGGAGGATACAGCAGATTGTATAGTATGTGACTTGTATTTACATTTGTGTACTCTTTTTCTGTATAGAATGGGATCAGCTCTCCTCTCTCGTTTTGATGTTGTTTTCCTGCTCCTGGACATCCCAGACGAGTCACATGACCGCCAGCTGTCGGAGCATGTCATGGCGAATAGGTCCGGGAGAGGCAGAACCAGCAGTGCCACAGTTACCAGAAATAACACTGAATTACAGACCTCAATCCTATTAGAGCACTCTGACATGCCACTGTCCGAACGTTTGCAGGTAAAGATGCGCTGTCTGCTCTCAGCGCACACGGATCACAATGATATCACAAAAAAGCAATTGTTTTCAGGCATTAAGTGTATATTTTTCTAGATCCCTGCAGGTGAAAGTATAGACCCCATTCCAACGTGCCTTTTAAGAAAGTACATCAGCTACGCTCGTCAGTATGTCCGTCCCAAACTCTCTCCTGAAGCAGCACAAATCCTTCAGGAGTTCTACCTGTCACTGAGAGCTCAGGCAAACCCTACTGATGCCACACCAATCACCACACGACAGCTGGAGTCATTAATTAGACTAACTGAGGTAGGTTTGGATAGCGGTGCATTCTCTCAACACACCTGGCAAAATGTGATGGATGAATACACAAAGTAAAAATACAGTTTTGGGGAACAGAAGGGATCAGTTTCCTGCTGGTGTCTCATGGTAGCTGTTTTTGTGTAGGCAAGAGTCAAGTTGGAGCTGAGAGAAACAGCCACTAAGAGCGATGCTGAGGATGTTGTTGAGATCATGAAACACAGGTAAGCCGAACAATCGATGCTCACAGCTTGTAGGCAATAGCATTTATAAATGTAGGAAAATGAAATGCATTTTCTGTCCTTTCAGTTAGCTGCTGCCTTTGATGACACATTACCTCATTTGAAGTATTGATCAATTGCTCCAAGGTGCCAGGAGCAACACCATTATAGCGCAATAGTTGTGAGGGCTCTAAGCATAAAAGTAAAAATAAAAATCATTGCTCAACACTTGTACCTCTTATGTCGTGGTTTGTGCTTGTTAACTAGCTGATTAAAGCCAAGCCTTTCCACCATGTTACTGCATCAGTAATTTGCATCCACCATTTGCTTATTGTCATATGGACAATATTGGACTAATGTAACCCTCTCCATCCATAATAGTGTCATGTGGAGCGGAGCTAGCAATGCTCAGTTGAGTCATCTGTTTGCTCTTGAGTTCCACATCGCCAGCTGCTCCTCCTCCTTTGCAGTCTGGTTGTTCTCAATGGTGTTTTTGCCTCAAACACATTTGTTGTTTCCACCAGTTTTCTTGCATATTTTGCAAAGTACTGTGCTTTGTTGGAGGTTGTTGAAGTAGCTCCCTTTCTAGGAACTAAATTGTAATAGAAGACTGAAACAGCTCTTACAGTCAGACATGCTTGGACTTGTTTCACTGGGGAACATAAATACATGGTGTTGCTATTGCAGGGATACGGTATACAACACTTTAATATCACAGAAAATACATACTAGTAATAATGTGCACAGTATGGTAGGCCAAAGCCAACTCTAAGATGATAAGTGTTAATATTTTTGTTAAATAATATTCACAATATTAATACGTCTGAATTGCTCACACCTGCATGTAAATTTCTCTCTCCTTCGTTTTGTGGGTCTTGTTTTTCAGTCTGGCCAACACGTATTCAGATGGTCTCGGCAATCTGGACTTTGAGCGCTCTCAGCTCGGGTCTGGTATGAGTCAGCGCAGTGCTGCAAAACGACTGGTCAATGCACTGCACCAGCACGCTCAGAGGACCGGTCAGAAGCAGTTCGACGTACAGACGCTTCGATCCATTGCCGACAGAGTGAACGTTAAGGTGAAAGCACTGAAATATAAAATAATAAATAATAAAAATACTGTGTCTGATTTACAGTATAAAGCAAAGACACAAACATTAATAGTGTTCTCTCACCATTTGTGAGCAATTACTTTGGATGTCATCATGATACAAAAACTTTATTAAAGGAAAATAGGAAAAAGGTATCGACTTGTTTAAGCTCTTTGTGAATAAAAATGCAAAAACAAACATTAGAAAAGCATGTGGAAGATTTAAAGATATACAGACACTGCTTTAGCCAATATGTAGACCACATCAGCAAGGGTTAGAACTCTTGATTATCCCAAAATGAAATAAAACTCCAACTCTAAATGTTTTATCAAACACAGCACATCTTTAATGGTGCCTTACTGACTGAAATCGGTCAGATATTGTGTACAATACTTTTGATTTTTACACAAAGCTTTGTACCTAATATAGAGAAGATTTTCCAAAACCTTTATATTTTGCCTTTTGTAACTATACACAGGTTGGCTTCCCCCTCCTCACCACAAACCTTAGTGATTTCATACTTAAACATGAATGAAAACGATATGCTCAATTGCATTAAATGTATAATTCTTAATTATATTAAGTCAATCATTAATTCTTTCTAGGTGATGGATTTCGAAGGCCTCTTGAGTTCCCTGAATGAACAAGGTTTTCTGCTGAAGAAAGGGCCCAAGCTGTACCAACTGCAAACAATCTAACTTCTTACAGCTTTCACAGGCTCAAACCTGCAGACTTTATCAAAAGGTCGATCATTGGACCATGTTCTGTAAAAAGCAAAAGAAATGGAGACTGCAGTTTGACCATTAGAAGAGATAGAAAAAACCACGAACAACAAAAACAAGGCTGGAAAAAAAAAAAGGAAATACTGAAACTTGATCTTTACCGCTACCACAGCTTCTTGTAAAGACAATATCCCACTAACCAGAGAAATGTTAGACTTGAGATTGATATATTGTCTTAACATTTCATTCATAATCCAGATAAAGATAGATTTTCAGAACCGGGCAACCCTTAGTTTAAGCAAAGTTGCAAATTTTGCCTTTAAGTTACACAACTTTGTCTAAACTGAATATGAAAGAAAACTGATTACTTACCATTTTTTTCTACAAATACTTAAAGAATACTTCAGAAGAATGAACATAATATGTATATGATGTTTATGTAAGCTTGTCTGTGGTTATATTTTAGAGAAGACACTAATATAACCCCGTCAACCCATAATAGTGTCATAATAAGCTGCCCTTGTATTATAAAATTTCTTATTTTTCTGAAAGATTGACTTCAGTATTGGGTGTCCTGTTGGATGTATAGTATTTGCTTTTCATTTTTGTCTTAAACATACGTTCATGGTTACGTTCTGTCTCTCTGCGGTGCACTTTATTAAATGATGTGGAACAATCAGCCGTTTGTTTGTTGTTGTTTTTTGTTTTGTTTTTACAAAAAGGGAGGTAGTGAAAATGCTTTTAATTTGTAATTCAAAAGACTAATACGCTAAATATTTACTTATTATTTAAGAAATTGTTACAATTTATTAACGACAAGTCCGACTATTATCTGATTTTTCTATCTCTTGATACACCACTTATTTAAATAAGCGACTCTTTTTAAATTAAAAACGCTGAAGGAAAGTAAGTTTTACGACATCATGTACCGTATCGATTTACGGCAACATGGCAGCCTGCTGGCTCGATGAGGGTACCCGTCGGCTCTGACCATCAGGGTCTTTAACTTCACGATGAACTCGCGGGGAAACGGCACGAGGCCAGCAGGTCGGTAACGTAAGTCTCGTGAAGATGATGACGCTGTGTTTTCGGGGGATTTCTGCACCGCTGTGCCGCAACACAAACGTTCGTTGTCTGGTGTCCGCGCGGAGTGCGCCCGTGTGCCTACTGGAGCCCGTATCATGGCGGCTCAGATACACACCTGTCACGGAGTTCGCTAGGTTGAAACGACCTCAGGTGAGCGGCTCGTACCTCGCGAGACTCAAAGGGACAGACAGCCGTGTCGCGTGTTGGAGTGGGGTCCTCCAGCAGGGAAAGCAGACTCCATGGCACGTGCAAGGACCTATACCCATGACCCAGGGAGGTCACGAGCGGTATGCGGCCAGTTTCCGTTCTCTGCTGTCCCCGAGCGCTCGAGGACTGTGCAGTGGAAAGACCGACGAGAAGCCGGACAGTTCTACCGGAGAGGAGAGGGGTGACGCCGGCACGGTACCGGGACACGGACTGTTCAAGTTCAAAGAGCTGGTGAGTACAGAGGTGACAGGAGTATGAACTTCACAGAAGGGGGTAGGCACCGTAGATGCATGTTGTACAACAATTAATAAAGTGTAACTCATGTGTGTTCATCAGTTGCTGGCCAAAACGGTGCAATGGTTTATACTTTTAAAAGGAACAATGACCATAACATGACCAAAACATGAAGAAACACACAGTTGCTTAAGTAGAATTTACAATAGTGTAATCATTGGTCACACTAGAAGAGCTTTGTGGGTAATTTTCCACTGAAGAGGGAGCACTGGGCTTTGTTCCAGAAAAGAGAAACTGGATTTTTGTGTTTGTGAGCTATCCCAAACCCTGGGTCATTTACTGGCCCAATGGACTCTGTGAACCCAGAGGTTTAAATGTCAAGATTTTTTACAGTACGTTTCCTCGTAAAACAGCCTTATTAGGTTTAATGAATACAAGTCCACAAGTAAATAGTTTTTCCTGTACATAAAAATGGCATGTTTAAAATACCCATCAGTCCATTTTCTTCCACTTGTTGCGGTGGGCTGGAGCCCATGTCAGCGGTCATAGAGGTTTATGGTCACAAGATTGTTGCGGGGATAACACAAAAAGAATGTTAACCATTGATACTCACACCTAGAGCCAGTTTATAGAATCACCAATGAACAACGTTTTTGAAGCCAGAGTACCTGGAGAAATCCCATGCAGACAAACAACATGCAAACTCCACACATAAACTCTGCAGACTGGATTTAAACCCAGAACCTTCGTCCTATGACACAGCAGTGTTAACCGCCATATGACCCAGCTTAACATAAGCTTTTAATTACTAAATACCACTGTGACTTGAATGGTGTGGAAGGTTGTGGTGTAGGGATAAAAGGAGTTTTCAGTTATGAAGTAGATCTCCTGCAGTCTTAAATCGAGCTTTACTTGGTCACTATTGGGTTTTTTTTGTCCTCTAGGAAAATTTAAGTTCTGTGACTGTAGAACAACAATATCACCAACTATTTTCTCCCCTACTGTTTTAGATGAATCATAGTGATAAGTCACATTGGTACACATTCATATTCCTTGGACCTGATAAAAAAATGGAGTCTCTTATTTTTATTTAACTGTCACCATCTTGTATCCCGTTGTAGGTCCTCTACTCATAAGGGAAACAAATAAATCATTATTTAAAAAACTGTTTTAAAGCTAACTATTGCATTTGCCAACATAAAATTGATTTGAGTCATTAGAGAAAATATAAATTCCTGCCATTGGTAAATGTCATCTTATTTGTTTATAAGGCCAATGCAGAATCGATATATATTGCACACATTACTGAGAACAGCTGCTAGAAAAGATTTAGGCTGACTGATCTGAAGCAAGTTCTGTGATGATTTTTTTTTTCTTAATAGCTCTAGCTGTAAACTCTGTCATAATATTTACTTATTTTTTTTCTTCAGTATGAGAATCCATGGACAATCCCCAACCTGTTATGTGTGTGTCGGATTTTGCTGGCTCCATTCCTTGGTCATCTGATCATCCAGCAGAAATTTCACCTCAGTTTGGCTCTGTTTGCGCTGGCCGGAGCTACTGACCTGGTAATCTACACATAAACGGACATTTACACTAAAGCACTTCCTGCACAGGTGTGTGGTTCCAGTCTGGAGTTGCACACCTGTACAAGGAAATCTTGTAAACTCATTTTCAGCTTCTGAGGATTGCAAACAGTTTTGGACATTTAACACATGTCAATGATGCACCTGTAAAAATATTTTTAAAAACGTGGTAGTTGAAATATTTACTATTTGTGTATCAAGTCAAGATCAAGATGCATGAGATGCAAATAAAGTTAATTAGGCTTTTAAATTGGGACTCACTGCATTCTGATCTGCCCCGAACCTTTTTAGTTGTCTTACTTAGCTCAGCTTAGAAACTTGTACCACAATGAATTTACATCTTTATTTATTCATTTTTCTGTCTCATTCTCTCTTACTCAGTTGGATGGTTACATTGCCAGAACGTGGCCCACTCAAAAGTCGGCACTGGGCAGTGCTCTCGACCCACTGGCTGACAAGATTCTCATCAGTATTTTATATGTCAGTCTCACCTATGCTGAACTTATACCAGGTATAATACTCAGTGTATTTCTGTGTTTTCTTCCTGTCTCAAACAAGGATATAAGATTTTTAACTGTGGACTTCTGTTTCAGCTCCACTGACAGCTCTAGTGATTTTCAGAGACATTGGTTTGATAGCTGCTGTCTTCTGGGTCAGATACAAGACGGTACCTCCACCGGTGAGACATATCATTCTAAAAAACTAAACTTTAACTGAGGATCTTCTATTTAAATGCCATGTAGACACTCAAATTTCAAGATATTTTCATGTGCACTGTACAGAAGTTTGCTGCAGCTAAACTGTGGGTGCAGCAGAGGGTGCTTGCAATGTAGTCCTCACTGCCAAAAATGGCACAGTTGATTTTAGTAATTATATTATTTATACCCATCCATCCCTATATTTATAATGCATTTTAATTGAAAGGAAGCACTTCGAGAGTGCAACCCTCTGTCAAGGCAGCGCGCTTGCTGAGTATATTTACGTTCAAACAATAATATTTTATTTTGTATATATTTATTTTGGTTTCTTTGTTCTTTTTAAGCATACTTTAAGAGGTTTATAGTGCAGTAAACAGAGGTTTACTTTGATTACTCAGATATTATGTAAGAATAGAAAATATGTATTGATTTGTAAGTTGAAAAACATGAATAAATAAATCTATATAACAATTTATGTTGTCTTCTACCAAAAACATGATGAATATTACTAAAGTAAATCTTAACTGCTCTTTACTATTTTGGGGCCACAGTGATTCTGGACTGCATTGTGAGTGTCTGTAATACTGAATCTACAGTTTCCTCCTCTTATTTCTGCAGGTGACCCTCACCAAGTTTTTTAACCCCTGCTATACTACTGCCCAGCTCAAGCCCACACTCATCAGCAAGGTGAGATGTACAACCATGCACTCTGCTCTTTACCGATTGGAAAAACTGTAGAAGACCTTTCACCATGAAGTGTTTGTAATGTAGTTTTACCTCTACACATGTTAGGAGCACCGCTGATGTAGTTTTACAGAGTTTACTAATCTTTACACTCAATAAGCAAAAGTTACTAAACAATAAATGATTAATGCCTTTAGGCTACTCATCAGCACCTTTACACAGCCTGTTGTGCATCTTTCATCGGCACGTTTCCTCATGCTTGGCGTCAAATTGGATGTCAGTTAAATTCTGTAAACATTGGATGTTTTTGAGGTAGACATTCAATGTGATGAGGATATGAACAAAGCTAGTTTGTGCCTGTTGTGTCCTCACCCTATCAACACCCAGATAATTAAAAAATTGTTTCATTTTTGTTTAAAAGACCTGTGCTTCAGTATTTCCCAATTTTGCACAGTTTATTTATCCAGGGTTTAATATTCATAACTTCAGCCAACATTCTCAAGTTATATGGTTTATTACTGCAGCCTATGTAAAATATGTAACTTCTCTTAAATACACCTGACACTGATTCATTCTATGTTTGAATCCACAAATAGCCTTTAAACAGTCTGAAATACTAGCATAATTTCATTTCAAATGCGTGCAAAATTCTATCATGCCTTCATCTTTCTTTTCTGACTTTTATTTTATTCATGATTCATGTTCTTTTTCAATAGATTAACACGGCCATTCAGCTCTGTCTGGTTGCAGCTTCTTTGGCCGCTCCGGTCTTCCAGTATACAGACAGCATCCTGCTGCAGTGCTTATGGTAAACCACATGCTCCACATTATTTATGCAATCGCAGTTTCATCCACTTAGCTTTCATATCCAAAATGTCCTTTTCCTTTCAGTCTGGTGGTACAACCAAAAAAAAAAAAATTGTACAATGGATGCAAATGGTCTCATCTCAGTCAAGCACATAAATGCTGTTTGTTGCAGCACGTTGTTCAGGTTAAGTGTACTGACTCATTTCAGTCCGCACCTCAGAGTGAGCTTGAGTAGAAATCAGACCAATGACAAACATGTTGTGCCATAGTAACCTACATTTTTACAAATCTACTTCAGTGGACTGTTGAACTGAGCATCGTAATTGATTTACAAGCCTTACAGTTTGGATTACTGATATGAAACTATGGGCTTTTATTTAGTTAGATTTTAGAGTTGTAAGACAAATCTTAAATGCTTTTGTTTGCTGTGGTTGATTAAACAGACTATATCGAATATCTAAAGATAGTATATACAGTTATAATAAATTTTTCCAATTAAATCGAGTTTTAAGTTAAACAACAGGTTAAGAAATGAATGAGGGTAAATTACAGTTAAAGCTCATCATACTCTTTCTTTAGCCAATGTGTCTTTCTTCATAAGACCACTGGGGGCAGCATAGTCACACTTTCAAATTCAACACATTTAATGTTTATAACAAACTGGAGATTAATTCATTCCTCACCACAATAAGATAACAAATTCTATTATTCTTTTAATATTAATTTAAAAATGATTTACCTCTCCTTCATCTTTTTTCTAACTTTGAAAGTATTTGGTCAAATTATTTTTAAGTGCAAAGTTTGGTGTGTATTACAGCACATGTCATTTATCATGTTGCAGGTATATTACAGCAGTGACTACAACTGCATCAGGTTATAGCTACTGGCACTACGGCCGCAAGACTGTTCAGGTGTTGAACACCAGATCACCGTCATAAACGCACCGAAAGCAGAACAAAAGCAGTCGCCCCAGAGACACTGAGCCCCAGTAAAAGGATGGACAGACGGATGGACGATCGCCAGGAGCTCTAAGACCAAGTGGATGTGACAACCATACACATGTCACCATGGAAATGACACATGGAAACCAACTGAGGCCGCAGATGGTTTACTGCAACACTACAGAAACGCCTAACAGCAGTGGAGCCTGCAGACAGCATTCAGAGACAGGATAAAAACAGCAAACGCAAATATAGACCGTCCACCCACAACACGAAACAAGAGCTTCTGTTTATTTTTTCTTAGGTTTTCAATCAAGGGGTTGCAATGTGAACCTAATTATTGTCACATGATTGTCATTTTTACACAACTGTGATTTATGATTAAAAAGGAAATCGCTTTTGTGTTTGTCCACGAGAATCTTTCGGATGCAGGGGATTTTTTTTTTTCCTCAGGGAGGGGTAATCTTATGGGACACATGTGACAGCTGATCTATTTAAAACCAACAATCGGGGGATTAAATTTTGGGTGCGCGGTGAAATGACATCCTAGCTGGGCTCCACAGGCCCAGCAGATTCTCAGTCCTGATTCATTTAGTGCTGCTTTGAGCTTAAATTTGTCAAGGCCAATGCCAAGCTGCAGATTAGTATCCTTATTAAGGAATGTGGAGTCAATGATCCTATTATTACTTGAATAATTAATAAAAAGCATCAACTTTTAAATTGCTGCTATTAATCCAAACCTTCAAATTATCAGCTGTTGTGAGAACAAAACACTTCAGCTTTGGGAAAGGTGAGGATCCCATTTTATTATTTTCCTCATGTTTTGTAGACAAGAAAATAAATAATAGGGACTGATTGCACACATTTCCTTTGCTTTTATGTATGTGTATCATTAAAAACCACAACAACTGCAGTGCTGTTTTCAAGTGCTTCCAGTCTTGGGATCAATATGCCTGATAAGCCAGAGGTTATGCAGAGGCCCGGGGAGAACGCGAGCCATTGCAGATGAACTCCTCAGGCGGTCGTATCTTACTCCACTGTGCATTTTTTTCCCTCAAGAAGAAAACTAGTGTGATGAGGGGAAACGAGAAAGCATAACCTTTTCATCGCCACCATTTATTTCCCAGCAATTTTCTGCACCACTTGGGTAATGCAGCTTCCTCGCCGAGCATGTGCTGATGACTGCCAGGCTTTTGCAAGTTGTTTTCATGGCCTTGAGTAGGATGTCTCCTCATTATATCTTCAGCGAATAAATTTAAACGATCCCATTTTAATATGAGACATCCGTCACCGAGAACAAATTGATACCTACGCTTATTAAAACACTGCTTAAAGAAGTTCTGCTGCTTTATATTTTTTTCCCCCAAAGTCTATATTTGATAAGACTAATTGAATGTGTACAGTATAATTTGGAAGTTGTTTGGTGCCCCACAGTCTTTTCATATAGTGTTTGGGAGAAGCTTTAATTAGTTATGCCTTTGAGATTAAAGATGGGGAAAACACACCTTCAAGCCCTCTGTGATGGACTTCAGTGAGATGCGTGTCATCGTGACTGACAGATATTGACAGCTGTTATTTACACGGTGATGGTTCTGTCAGTAAAGTGAGTCAGAATTTAGATTACAAAGAGCTAAAGATGAAAACTGTCTTCAGGATTTATTCTCAGTATAACAGCACCTCCGAGATGCCTTTAAAACATTTCTCAGGTTAAAAGGCAAAATCTTCCATCCAGCAATTATTTAGTGCTTTTACCCAAGGCTTGTCTGTCTGTCTTTCTTTCTCTTTTTCAAATATGATCTTCCCTTTGGAAATCCATCTCTTATCCCTTCAAATTCTTCCATCTCATTCATTCATGGTTACTGGAGTCTAAATGACTCCTGGTCTGTTGCAATTAATGTTCTTGTCTAGACACACTTACAAAGAAATCAGTGCTCTTGTCTCAGAAAATGACTTTCTCACTTATTAAAGTAGAATTCACGGATTTGTATTTTCTGGCTTTGAGTAAAGGATCTTCCATTTACATTTTATGCAAAAACAAGTTTTTAAATAAAGTGAAAATAATGAGATTATTTAAGAACTATCAGGAGGTCATCTTCTGCAAGAACACAAACCAAATTATATAAAGAAAACACACAGTGGGGATTATTTTTCTTTATATACAATGGCTGACACCACTAATAAACAAAACTTTAGTCTGGCTACTCAACTCATTCACCTTGAACGAGAATAGTTTAAGTAAGCCACTGTAAGGCCTTTCTCAGCCACTAGATGGAGAAATGGCAAAGAAACGCCGACGGTGATTTTACATTAGTGTCAGTAGAGGCCTTGTTTGTATCATTAATGTGCAGTCAATAAATATTTAAAGACCTCAGCAATCAACTGTACAGTGATGTGATTATTTGAACAGATAAGCATTTATAATTAAAGGATTTAAGATAAGGTTCAAAAATAAGTTGACAATTTAGGTGTTTATATGTTATATATTTAACAATTCCTGTTTAAAGTCATATTCCTTAACTAGTGACTTTAAACAGGAATTGTTTAAAGTCACAGAAAGGATTTAAAAAATGGAAGGACAAAAAATAAACAATTTTTTTCTATAGCAAAAGTAGAAACTGGTGCACAGTTTGTTGCACTACAGCTATGAGCTCTAGTGTAACAGACAGACTTTTCCACTGTGAGACTCAAGAGAAAAGAGGGTCAGCTAAAAGTAGAAATATGTTAAATTATGTAAATTATGTTAGATTAACCAGATTACTCAGTTTTCTAAACAATAGAGCAGAACCTGACGGTGATTGCTAGTTAGGAATGGTGTGTTATTTTCTTTATTTTCTACCTGGTGCCACTCTCATTTTCTCCTTACTGCTCATCTTTTAGTTGATGCCAAAACAAACCTGTTCTTCAAAACTTAACAGGACACATTTGAGAAACTGTCACCTGGGACTATCCATGCTTAGTGAAGCCAGGTTCAAAACCTGCTGGAAAAACCAGTTAAAGAATCCCTCCAACACTCATACAGATGATTTAGTGATGGAGGCGAAAAAAGCCAAATGTGCCTTCACACTTCACAGCCCAGCTCTCCAAAACCCACAGACAGGCTGAATCACACTAACAAGGACAAACTTTGGATCTGTATGCTTGTGTCAGCACGGCCCTGCGGCTACCGCTCACTGTTTCAGTCAGCCCTGCATCAAGTGAGAAGTGAGAGGTATCCTCTGTCCTCCAGAGCTAAAGAAAGCTTTAGCTCTGCCCAACAACATCTCAACAGAGACTCCTTGTTTCCTGATGATTTTATTAGATTAGTTTCAAAACTGGTGAAATGGATGGATACATACATAAACCAAATCGTGCCGAGTCTAGGTATTTAAACCCAAGTGGAGGAGGGCCGGTGACCCACTATTAATCATCCCATCCCATGAGCCAAGCTGTGAAGAAAGGCATGAGTAATTACTACTAGAGGTTGTGGGTAAAACCACTGTGAGACTTTGCATGAGTTGAGTGGGGGTTGAGGTGCCTGCAAAGGGATCTCAGGACTGCTCTGTAGGTGGCTGACAGCTGCTGTCATAAGCCACCCTCTGTTCAATGACGGTCATTCACAGCCCCTCTTTTGCTGCTCTTTCAAACCATCTGTGCTCTCGATCCAAAATGTGAACACTGGCATCCTCAAAAGAGTGACCTTTATTTTTTTCAGTGTAAATGTAACATCTTTAGGAAATTTAAAGAAATCCAGTTGCTTTCTTTCCAAGCTCCTTAGACTACCATGACCTGGATGACTGAGAACTTATACAGACATATCCTATACAGACATGTCTTTGAAATCTTGTTTTGCCTGCTTTGCTTTTACATTTGTCCGTCAGGTAATGTTATAGTGGTGGATGCTCATATTAAACATGGCTAAAGTTTCACATGATCAGGTCAGTTTTTGTCCTCTGAGTCAAAAACATAGGATTCAGACTCCGCTAGATGCTGATTTTCTAGTATTTTTTTCAACTATTGATATATGATATTAGCGAGAGAAAATATCCCTAATAGCTACATATTGGTCACACATCTGTGGTTGTGAGCATAGAAGCCCCAACCATTGCCTATCTGGTCATTTTGTTTTTAAGGTGAAGCCAATTAGAAACTAGTAGGCTTAAAGCACTGCTTTTCAAACTGTAGGACAGGGATGAAACTAGCTGAGTGAATAGGACTGTCAAAGAGAAAGCAAAGACAAGTTTATTGATGCTATCATGCTCACATTTATTAAAGTAAAATTCAACTTTAATCCTGTAATTGATTTTTTTTAAAGAATTAAAATAATTTACACCATGCAAGGAAAAACTTGGGGGCATAAACAGAGGGCAGGGTGTTCCAGGGAGAGGAACTAAATAGCCTTGTTTTATTAAAGCAGCTCTAATAAAATCCAAGGACATGTGGTATGAAGATGTACTCTGAATTGAATAAGTCTCCTTTCAAATGGCTAACAGTAATTAAGTAGAAGATTGTATTTGACACCACTCCTCCCTGGTCACTGCTATTCCACTTCTGTGTTTTTTGACACAAGCCACCACCTGTGTGTACTATCTGGACTTTGCTGTGTAGGTTATCAACAGCATCCTCTGAAGAGTCTGACACCATGGTTGTTGCCATTCCTGAGCCTGTTTCTGTGCTTGTGTGAAATTTCATGCGAGTCCATGCAAAATCTGACAAGACATTTCAGTCTGGAGCAATGTGGTGGACTGAACTGCTGACATCACAGTCCGTCCCCGTAACCACTCTGCCAGCATGAACATATTTTCTCACGGTAGTCATATCGTTTCACTGGATCAGGTTCAGTTGAACTGCATTTAATTTGTGGCGCTCACGGCCATAAATAATTACAGTTACAAGACGGCAGCAATGTGTTTCCCGTTATTCTGTATAATCCACAGAACATGTTGCAGTCAGTTTTGCTGGCACTCTTTCTTAAGTACAAAGTTGTGAACAGACTCTTTTATAATCCTTTTTAGAGACTTGAGGCAATTTAGAGAGGATTTTCAGGGAGAAGACTGCAATTAAAAGGTTTTCAAAAGGCTCTTATCAGAGCTGCGAAGGCAAGGATGTGGCTGCCACAACATCCGGGTGCACTTGATTTGTCTGTGGCTACGACAAGTAAACAGGCATTTTCCAGTTGCACAGCTCCGTGGGAGTGCTGCCTTTCAAGTGTGTGTGTTCATGAAGCTCCGTGGTGTGACTGGACACGTCGTAGGCACAGAGACTTTGAGCTGTCAGAGGTTCTGAGCCAAACTTCACTTCAAACTTGACTGCTTATGAAACCCACTGAATCAGAGTCCTTATAGTGCTTACACCAGGCCTACACTCACAAAGCCGTACCAACACAAATCCATATGGGTACTATAGCTCCGCACACACACAAACACACATGCTCCTGCACAC